GGGCGGGCGGCTGAGCCGGGCCCGCCGCAGATCACGCGCATGGAGTACGTGCACACCAAGAGCCTCATCTACCGAGACGTGAAGCCCGAGAACTTCCTGGTGGGGCGGCCGGGCACCAAGAGGCAGCACGCCATCCACATCATCGACTTCGGCCTGGCCAAGGAGTACATCGACCCCGAGACCAAGAAGCACATCCCGTACCGGGAGCACAAGAGCCTGACGGGCACCGCCCGCTACATGAGCATCAACACGCACCTGGGCAAGGGTGAGCGGGGCGGGGCGGGGGGCGGGGCCCGCGGGGGCCGTGCTGACTCCCTCCGCCGCCCCCAGAGCAGAGCCGCCGTGACGACCTGGAGGCGCTGGGCCACATGTTCATGTACTTCCTGCGTGGCAGCCTGCCCTGGCAGGGCCTCAAGGTGGGGCTGGGCCGGCCGGCCGGGCGGGGCGGGGCGCCCCACCGCCCGCAGGCCCTGACCGCCGTCCCCGCAGGCCGATACCCTCAAGGAGCGCTACCAGAAGATCGGGGACACCAAGCGGGCCACTCCCATCGAGGTGCTGTGTGAGAGCTTCCCAGGTGAGGCCCGCCTCCCGCCCGCGGCCTCGCACGCAGCCCCGAGCCCCCGGCCCGGCGCTGGCCCTGCCCTGACGGGCCCGTTGGCTCTGCCCACAGAGGAGATGGCCACGTACCTGCGCTACGTGCGACGCCTGGACTTCTTCGAGAAGCCGGACTACGACTACCTGCGCAAGCTCTTCACCGACCTGTTTGACCGCAGCGGCTTCGTGTTCGACTACGAATACGACTGGGCTGGGAAGCCCCTGGTACGTGGGTCACCGGCGGGGAGCGGGGGTGTTCAGGCACCTGGGCGGAAAGCCCTGCGCAGAGGGGGGCGGGGGCGGATGCCTGTGCCGTGTGGGAAAGACGGGCTGGGTGGGTGATGTCGGGGGAGTGCTCTGGGACGGGGCGGGACCGGGCATAGCAGGCAGGTGTTGGGAGTGGACAGAGGTCAAGGGTGTGGGCGAGGGGTTCTGCCCACTGGGACGGTTCCCGCTGCGGGGCGCCGGGCGCTGTGCCTCAGTCCTGTCTTGCCCCCACAGCCGACGCCCATCGGCACGGTCCACACCGACCTGCCTTCGCAGTCTCAGGCTCGAGAAAAAGCCCAGCTACATAGCAAAAACCAGGTGAGGCCCGGCTGAGGGAGCCGGGGGTGGGGGTGCGCAGGGCCTGCTTGACTCCTGCTCCCCGCCCCCAGGCGCTAAACTCCACCAACGGGGAGCTGAATGCAGACGACCCCACTGCCGGTCACTCCAACGCCCCCATCACGGCGCCCACAGAGGTGGAGGTGGCGGATGACACCAAGTAAGGCCCGGGCAGCGGCGGGGGGGGGGGCTGACGAACCGCGCCCCCCTCACACACTCCCCCCGCAGGTGCTGCTGTTTCTTCAAGAGGAGAAAGAGGAAATCGATGCAGCGACACAAGTGAGCCGGACCGCGTGGTGCCCTGACCCTCTCGCTGCCCTTGGCGGGTGCGCGCAGGTGTGTGAGCCCGGCCGGCAGGCCGCAGCCGCTGCCCTCGCTGGACTGTGGCCACGTCTCCGCGCCTGTGTTTAGTGTCCCCTCCGAGAGCATTAACTATTTAAACAAGGACAGGACAGAGCGGCCGGCCCGCGCCCCCGCGAGGAGCACGCCGCGCCGCCAGCCGCCGCCGTTAGTGTCATAAAGTCCAGCTTGTCTCCCTCATCCAAAGGCCGTTTTCTGGAGGGGGCGCTGTGGGGGTTGCTGTGGGGTGAACCCACTCCTGGGCCTCCGACACCAGAGGAAGGCGGGTGCGGGTGGCCTCCAACCAAAATGCTGCACCAAAGCTTGGGCGCGGCAGGCTCGTCCCCGTGAGCGGGGTGCTGCCGGCCGGGCGCCCCCACACTGCTGGCCGGGCCCGTGGCGCGGGCCGCTGCCGTCCACTCAGCGCCGCCCGCACAGCCGCAGGCGGCAAGCGCCTTAAGTCCCCGGCCCAGCCCCGGGCACATGCCAGGCAGGGCAGCCCAGGGCGGCGCCCCGCCGGCCCGAGCCAGTGGCAGGGCGGCGGGGCGCCCAGGGGCGGCGGTCCGGGCGCGTGTGCTCGAAGTCTTGCTTTACACAGTGTACAGAAACGGCACTTCGGTTTCTTTGATGCTTCCTGGAAGCCATAGAAGTTAGGGGCTTTTTTAAAAAATAAAGGAAAATGAAACGAGTCCCCAGTGTGCCCAGTCTGGCCCAGAGGCTCGGCCAACACGGCGCAGTCTGGATGGCCAAGGCCTTTGGAGGGACGGGGTGCTCCGGAGAGGCCTGGGACCTCGGGGTGGGGGTGAAGTGGAGGGAGGAGCTGGGCACGTTCTGGGGGGGAGGCTGGGGTATGGGGTGTTTGGGGTGAGAGCGGGGGAGACCACATACACAAGACCTGTGGACAAGAAGGTCCGCCGAGTCCACACACACACACCTGACCCTCAATGGGCAGCTGGATCTTCCCAGGAGCCACAGGTACCAGCCGGGTGCAGGCACGGGAGCCAAAGGCACAAAGGCGGGAGCCCGCCGCCCGGTTCCTGCTGGGGGCCTTAGGCACCCCTGCCATGCAGCACACTGCTACCTAACCCCCAGTGGAGGGGCGGTCTTCAGATTGAGGAGGCCGTGGGTGGGCCCCATGGAGGGGCCCAGGCAGCCAGGGGCCGGGGTGCTCCCCGACGTGAGCGCAGGTGGCGCCCAGGCGGAGTCTGCAGGCCACAGCTGGCCACATCAGGACCGGGCCACCAGCACCACCTCAGACTTGGCCCAGAACGGAGAAATGAGCGTAGCTTAAGCTCCCTGGTCTCTTACTGCAGCACAAGCAGACTGAGGCGGTGGCCAGGATGGCAGCGAGGAACATCAACAGTCTGGAAAACAGACCTAGTAGGAGCTGCCGGTAGCTGCAGGTGACGGCCGTCGCATTTGTCGTCTCCCCTAACACAGATGCACAAAAGGAAAACCAAGTGTGTGTGAAACCGGCCCACACTTAGGAAGCCCCAGGCCCTCCTCCCGTCACCCCACTCTGGTGGGCCTTGGCTGGAAGCCTAGGTAAGGGGGAGCCACTGCGTGCCCAGCGGTGAAGGAGAAACCTGTAGCAGAGCCAGAACATGCTTCTCTCCCGCGCTGATGGCAGCCCAGCTCCCCCGAGACCGTCACAAGGCTGAGGACTGCTAACGTGAGTTCAGGAAGGGGGTGTCAGGAAAAAAGCAGTTTTTAGCCGTTAATGTAAAGGTGCATCTGAGCGGGCATCTGGGAGCACTCGCAAGACAATCAACCGGCTGTGGTGCGGCCCAAGTCGGGGCCTGCAGGCAGAAGGGAAAGCGCGTCCTGCCGACGGGGAGCGGCTGTGAGGCCCGGCCGGCCCCGTGCACAGCGCCGCAGCGCACAGCACTTCTGTCACTTGCTCCGGGCTGTGCCGGTACAAAGTCCTCTAGTCGCTGCCCTCCCGGGTTTCTAAAGCCCCAGTCAGGCGGGGCTGCAGGCGGGGTGCTGGCCCAGGGTCTGTCTCAGAAGGGGAACGGCCCCCTGCTGGCGGCGGGCGGAGGCCCAGCGGGTGGCTGCCTGTGGGTGCAGGTTTTGTGTTCTCACGTGGTCACCTTTTTGGGTCCAATTTGATTTTCTATTTTCTTGTTAGAGAGCTTAGGCCGTTGATTTCGCCTTTGACCTCTGAATCTTCCCCTCTGAGGTGCAGGACCCCCCGATTGTGGTGCATTGGTCGCTTCCGCTGGACAGCCCAAGTGTTTCCTGACTGGCGGAGTCTCTCTGGGGCCCGTGCCCTTCGGGGAGGCGTGCTGCCGCCGGGCGGCGTCGTGCTCGCCGCTCTGGTGCCCGGTCTGCGTCCACAGGGCGCGCTGTGGCCGGCGCGGTCACTGTCGGCTCGCAGGCGGCGTGGGCCTCGGCTCTGGCCTGCACTTGAGCACCCGCCCTGTTTCTCCCGGCTGTCACGCGGGGAGGGTGTGATGGCGGCGTCCACGTGGGACTGTGGGCCCGTCGCTGTTTCTCATCTTGGGCCGGGGTTTGCCTTGATTCAAATACTTCAGCGTCGGGGCGCCCACTGCCCCCTCGGGCTGCCCTTCCCGCGCGCGCGCCCAGGTCGTGGTGCAAGCCGCTCTGGGGCTCCCAGCTCGCGGCTTTACTGTAACTGGCGGAAGTGCGCTCGGGCGCGTCTCCTCGGGGGTGTCTCCCCGTCACCCACCGCGCGGCTTTTCGTTCTCTTGACGTCACCTTTTGTTTTTGTCTCCACCCCGAAGGGCACAGGATTCTGTTTGGTCATTTCTTTCTGCTGGCTGCTGGGTGAGATTTCTCCTTCGGGTTGCAGCAGCTTGGCCCTGGGTGTGAACAGCCTGTCTCGTCTTGGGTCACGTGAGCTGCGGTCCCGGTGTTGGGGAGCAGCCTCTGGGCAGGGGCCTCCAGGTCAGGTGCTGCCCAGGCAGCCTGGGCCCTCTGAGCACCTCCTGGGCACACTTGGGCAGCCTGGTCCTGGGGCATGGCCCACGTGTGGCTTCACCTGCTGGTGGCTGCAGCTACGCTGCCCCTCCCGGCCTTCACTGCACACAGGGACAGGGGCGCCTAGGGGAGAGGCAGAACGGGGTACAGGAAGGGTGTGCAGCTCTCCCCGGGTCTAGAGCGTGCTGAACTCCAGACACAGGCGGGGATTCCCCAGCGCGGCCAGCCCTGCTTGCTTACAGCTGGGGCGAGAAGGGGCACCCCCACCCCCCGGCTCAGAGCTGTCGCGTCCCGGTGGCTCTGACGGAGTTGGACAGAGCTGGAGGAAGAAACGTGGGTCAGGGCTGTGCCTTTTTCTGTCCTTTATTAAAAAAATCATTTTGGGGTGTGGTGTGAGGGTGGCACACCTTCCATGGCTTCGGGGAGGGCACAGGTTCCAGAAGGAATCACGGGTGGGGCGCAGACAGTGCCGGGGGAGGGGAGGGGAGGGTGTGTGTACCCTCCAGCATCTCTGGACAGCACTCACGGGGCAGGGAAGTGGGCTACAGTATGTACAGGGGTGCGGTGGGGACTGGCCACTGTGGCCAGCCCATCGCATACCAGACCAGGCCTGAGGCCGTGCCCTGGGCTGCAAGGGCTGGAACAGACCTGTCCAGAGAGGCTGGGGGTCGGGGCATCACCCTTCACTGGACCAACAGAGCCTCCACTGGGCCTCGGCCCCTCCTGTGTCCTGCTCCCCAGAGTCCAGCCAGGGTCCCGAAGGCTGGGGTTGTGGGCCTTGGGCACGTGGCAGGCCTGGTCACCCCAGTGACTAGAACAAAAGGAACCCAGGACCCGCCAGACGCACATCCCCCCCCCTCCGGCCAGAGAAATGGAAACCAGATGCATTGCCGTGTGCAGTTAACAAAACGAAAGAGACAAAACGACAGACCCTACGTCCAGGCAGGCAGGCGGCCTGGGCTGCGGGACAGGGTGGCTGGGACCCCCCACATCTTGGCCAGGCAGACGCCAGCGTGGGCCGGGTCAGGCCAGCCCCACCCCAGTCCTGAGGGATTGTCTCTCACCCTGCCGCCGCCAGAGCGCAGGCCTCGCCTGCCGCCCAGACACACAGCTGGGTGGACAGCGGGCCCGGGCCTGCTGAGGGCGGGCGGCCTAGGTGTAGAAGATGACCTCGGGGATCTGCCCGTCCTCCACCGACGTGCCGTTGTTGTTCCCGGCCGCGTAGCAGAAGGTGAAGCACGTCTTGGCCCCCGTCGTGGGCGACTCATGGGTGACCTTGCGCAGGCCCTTGGTGCCATAGTGCGAGTCTGGGCCCTGCAGGAGCGGGGTCACGTGTGGTCAGGACCCCGCTGCGCCAGGGGCCTGGGGCCCTGCCGCCCCGTGACGCCACGCCCCTCAGCCCCAAGCCGTCGCCAGCAGGCGGTGAGGACGGGGTGGGGGTCGGGCCGGGGGCGGGCGGCACACCTTGAGCGTGGCGCAGGCCGTGTAGTTGACGTTGGGCAGCACCTCCACCGGCTCCTTGAACATGACCCGGAAGGTGCTGGCGGAGCCGTCGCAGCTGAAGCCCGTGTCATTCTGGCCCAGCACGGTGTTGCTGTCCGTGTGGATGATCTGGGGGGAGGGGAGGGGGGTTCAGGTGCCGCTCGCGCCTCGCCCAGCGCCCACCCCGGGCCCACGAGAGGGCCGGTGGCGTGTGGAGTCCTGCGGGCCCCGGCGGCCGTACCTGGATGTTCACTTGGTAGTCCGTGGGCCCGTGGATGGAGCCGTAGAGCCCGAAGCCAACCACGAAGATGCGCTTGTTCACGGAGAACCTGAGGCGGCGGGCA